GCCCAAACTTCACCTTCAGGTCTTGGCAGCTCATGCTCGCCCTATCTTTGAGAATGGTACACAGGGCAGTTCTCCTTAAGCCTAGTTCACACTAGCCCAAGCTCGGCAACCGTCAGGCTGGAATCGGGGGTAAATCGGCGGTCGATCGGTGGTCGCCTGTCGTTATGTGTGAACTACTCAACAACGCATCAAAACGTCTCCCTGACACGTTTCTGACACATCGCCGACGTCTGCCAGATATCTATCATGCCAAATATCTGGAAGAGTTGGCTGACAAGACATCCACATCCAGCCAATGAGAGCAGGCAGCTACTTTTTCACCGTAAAATAATAAAGAAAGTGGAAAGATTAATTGCCAAACCAAAGCGGAGTGGATACATATGTTGGTTTTGTTTCGTATTTAGATGTATTCTGTGTTATGTGCACTAACTTTTAGGACACGTGTATATGTTGCATGCCTCTCCCTGCAATGGAAGCAGGGGGAAGGGTCAGCCCGGTTATCTTGCAAAATACCTCCAAAGCTCACTAATTAGGACATGTCTTGTTTAACTTTGAATTTTATCTTAGAAGCATGAGGCAAATTGTTCTCTGCAAGATGTTCATGAATGCACACACTGGGATAAATAAAGCCTGGGATAAACTGAGACATACTGCTCGGAGGCAGTTCTTTGTGAAGCACACCTGCTGTCTGCAGACGTCAGGCCTCGGCCTCGATGACCTCATCTTTCATCGTGGCGTGTTGGAGCTGTGGAAGGGGAACAGGCTGATGCAACTGCCACTTAAATATACATGAGAACATGTTGAATAATTACTGCGCTCTTACAGAGTCTCTTCCGTCGTGACTGACAGAGACAATGTGGGAGAAGCCAGTTTAATGGTTCGTCAGCTTTTGGTATAAGAGCACTTTCCCACAGGACGGACTGAGAATACTGATACACCAGTGATTGGAAAATTAGACCGGGTCAGGTCTAGTCCAGGTCAGGGGTTGAACTTCTTGTTAAAACCAGTGGAGTTGCCCTCTGCCGGCCGTTAGATAGAATGCAGACCCTTCAGATTCTGTGACTAAACCCATTCCTCAATTATATATATTCCTTTAGTCTGTACAGGTCCTCCGATCAAAAGAATCAACTTTTCATAAAAATGAATCTTGTCCTGAGAATACTGTCACGTGCCACACGTTACTCTGCATCCTGCACCTGATGTTAGGTGTTTGTTTTCGTTACCTTGCTGCCTACTAAGCCGTCTATCGGAGCTAGATCAAACGAATGATTTTATACACTTTTCATACAAGTAATATTCATACTGGTTGAAACAGTTTGATAGCAGCCTATTTCAGTTTTGTGGGGAAGGAATTAAAGGCCTGTCCCAAATATAGGAAGGTTAAATGCAGTGATTTTTCTCAAATAAAAGCCAAGGCTATGAATTAAAAAATTAAAAAATAATTAAAAAGCAAAACATTTGAAGTCGTTGCTCTCTAGTAGCTGCGGTGCTAATCCAGTTCAGAACTATTGTTCATTCTGCAGCAAATGGGCCAAATAAAACCTGTAAACACTCTGATGTGTTTCTTCCTGACTGCTAGCTGTTTCCTTGTAGACAGCACAGCGGAGTCGGAGTGCCGCTCCGAGGGCAGATACTGTGGTGATGACTCATGTTGAAGGTTGGACTCTCTCAGAGGAGACGGTGAACAGAAAGAGCACAGGGGGTGTGTGTGTGTGTGTGTGTGTGTGTGTGTGTGTGTGTGTGGTTCGCACAGCTTATCTCCTCCGTGCATATCTGCCTGATGTCTCTGCTGCTTATTTTCACGTTCACCTGACGCACACACTGACACACACACACATGCGCGCGCATGCATGCACATAGGCACACAGAAACACAAAGACACAAAGGAAGACACACACCTTCATCTTGCCACAGGCTGTCAGTTGTCCTTGTCATGAGCATGATTCATAGCTTGAGGTTGGAACTGTTCCTGTACTGTTCTGACTTCACCTGCTGAGAAACAGCACGACACACATGCCTGTCTTGTGTGTGTGTGTGTGTGTGTGTGTCTATATATATAGACACACACTCACACACATTTAGACATTATTTAGACAACAAGCTGAGAGCATTTTCAGTTTCACTGTTGATTTTTTTGCTGTGACACTAAAATAAAAACATTTCTTGTCATCTTTCTTAAAACTGCTGTTCTTGAATCAGGTTAATAAAGATGGATCTTTTCTAAACTGATAAGGAGAAACAGGATATTCTCACATGCCTGTAGTCGTGTCCATCCATGCAGATAGTTTTGGTTGTGTTTGTCCCTGTTCTGAGATACCTATCTATGAGACTTCTCCTCCACACAAATACCTAGAGCACAAAAATTTACATTTAAATAAGTCAACAGCAATGTGTCGTTCTAGAAATGGTTTTTGAGATAACCTGCAGACTTTGCTGTGTGCAGTTTTATTGGAACTACTTCTACTAAAGAAGTAGCCCCTATATACAGTATTTTCTGTGGATTATTGAGTGTAATGGCAATTTTTCCTTAGCTTTGATTTCCAGTATCTTCTATCTATCGTACACAGATAGGTAGGTAGTGAAGTTTTACGTAGACATAAGATTTTCCAGTCATTATTGCAGTTGTAAATAGTATAAATAGATGAAAATACCGGTTGATTTCTTTTTTGTTTCCAGTTGTTGTGTGTATTCTGATCTGTGGTCTGGTGAGAACTGTGTGTGCTCCCCCTACCTGTGACTTCCTGTCACCTATGCCCCCCTATATACAACCATGTGCATCTAATCACTGCCACCCAGTGTCCAAAATACCAATATAAATATATCCAAACAAAATACAAAATCATGCCAACATGTCTCCTACAGCGAATAATAGGGACCCCTTTTTTCAGGCGTTTGCGTGAACCAACCCTTTAAATAAGTGAAGCTAAACTTGTTGAAAGGTGTTGCTGTGGTGTTATATTAAAATAGCACTGATGAAGTCATTCATAAAGAAATCTGTTCATTTCAAACAGAGCCTGATCATCCCTCACACTGTATGTTCTCTATAGCATGCAGACATGTCTAGTATATGAACATAGCTGAGCTTCCTTTGTCCTTCATGCATGGATTAAGTTGGCGAGGGTGTGAAGGGTTTTCCCATATAGATGAGACATTCCATGCGTTCCCCTTTCTTGGATAATCCCCTTAGTTATGAGACAGGGCTTTAAGAAAATTGTACCAAATATTAAGACTTAAAGGTACCTGGTGTTAGCATGTGTTAGCGCTTTCTTTTTATTACGTCATCTTTTCCATTTATTTATTTAAATTTCTCTTTATCTGTGAATTGTTGCTACAATTTTCTTCATTCCCTTTCTGACTCTGTCGTCTTCTCTGTCTTCACTTCACTTCACTTCACTCTTTCTCCTTTTCTTTCTCTCTGCTTTCATCTCTTGATCCTCTTTAAGTTGAGAAGGAGAGGCCTAAGCTGAAGGAGAGTCACTGGATGTGTTGGTGGAAGAAAGCGCAGAGCCGAGTCGAGCTGGCAGGCGAATCGTAGCTGAGGTCCAGGTGAGAGGCGAGTCCGCTCGGCTCGGCTCGGCTCCACGCGACTCTGCCATGTGCTTGTTTGAACCACAATAGAAATGAGGCACGGCAAAAAATTACTATTTGTATGGTTTTGCTTGCAGCCGAACACGAAAGCAACACACAGAAAGAAAGAGAAGATCACGGCTTTTTTTTCCTTATGTGCCTGCACCATAAACTGTATAAAAAAAGTCCGCAGCAGCAGCGATCAGCCGACTTTACACACTACAGCAGCTACGGCTGCTTCAGGTGTAGTTGGTTTGATCGGCCGGACATGCAGCCTCTCTTTTCCTCTGTTTGCTTCTTTAGAGTCTTTAGTGCAGTTAAGTGACTTGTTTAAACAGACTCCTTACTCGTTGAGGTTTGACTCACTAATAAAGGAAAAAGCAGACATCTTTCAGTTCGGTTTATTGATAGAAAGTTAACCAAGTAATTTACTTTGTTCGGGCTACTTTTAACACACGTATGAAAAAATTACTTAAATAAGGTTCCCACAACTTATTTGTTCACCAAACTATTTCACTCCTCCTCTCTTATTCAGATATATTACTCAAGATGTAATACACAAATCTTTTATGTTATTGTATAGTTATTTGAACCAAGAAATAAATAAATAAAATAACCTTGCTTGTCTGTAACTACAATAATAATAATAGGCTACCAATCAACTACTATGGCTTCAACAGGTGGCATTTTACACAAGGTATCGAATGAAGTACTCTACTGGTATTGGTATCACTTTAAGGGTACTGGCTTTGGTACTGGGATCATGAAATTTTAGATGATACACGACTCTAGCTGGGTCATTATGCAATGCCATCAAATGCTGGGTCGCTTTTCATCAATTGTGCGTCATGAAAAAGTCCTTATATAGGCAAATCCCAGCAATCGGCAGCCATCTTGATGTAACTCCTTTGGGCAGTTATATTGGATTAACATTATCAGGCCCCGCTCTAAGTGAATGGACATAAAAACTGCTTGGATAGAATCACCAGTAAAATCTGATAAAAGCCGCTGAAGAAGTGTGATGATTTTAAGAAGTGTTTCTTTTCATCACAGGTTATAAGGTTTCACAATCCAGACTTGATTTACGGCTTTCATTGTGGTCGCTTACCTCCCTTGGCAATACAGCACCTTCGTGTGTTATCCTCCCCGCCCATGCGGATTAGAAGTGCATCTGATCTGGTCACACACCTGCTCCTCGCTGCCACCACAACATTTGAAACTGTCGCGAACCTCAACTGCGCGTGAACCACACGATTGGCTTGATATGTTTCCCGATTGGCTTTTTTGTGGGAGGGACGGGGTATGTGCGACACTGTGTCACAGTAAAAGAAAGAGCACAGACGTGTGATATATGTCAACAATGTCAGGTCATGTATTACCTCCTGCTCAGGCTCAGTAGCCAAGGCCTCAAAGATTATTTATTAATATTTAAGTTTGTTGTAAAGAAACATTTTATTTGAAGTACATCATTCTGACAAAATAGTCTATATGAGCTTAATACATGCGTGTAAGAACGATAACACAGGTACACGCCACTCAAAGCTACATGGCAAACTAACGAGTGCCTACCACACCAGTGTTATTTTGCTGCTGTCTGTTTAGAATTGAAATCATTTTTAGTCGCAGTCCCAGCTGCTTGTTAGACTTTGCAATGAGGCAGCAATCATATTGTTGATAGCAAAAAAAAGCAAAATCTGTCTGCTGCTGAAATGTTTCTCTGTTTTCTCTGTCAAATGTGAAGGGCAGAGAGGAAGCCGGGAGGGTTACAGGTCTGACTCGCCATCTCGCATCTCACACCTCAGCAGAGGCGAGATTCGACAACTCCAGCGGAGCGTCCTGTGATGAGATTGAAAATATTATGCAGAGGGTGGGATGGTGGGGCAAAGAGCAACGCTGTGATGGACAGAATAAATATATCAAGCCAGAGTGTAATAACAAAACGCACACAGGGGATAGAGGCGGTGAGAGAGGGGTGGAGGGAGATGGATGAAAGTAGAGCTGGAGGTGAAGTGAACATCCCCGTCTAGCCTTGTGTACCTGCTGTCTGCTCTGTCAGAGGAAGGAAAAGGAAAAAGAAACATTCACTGATTAATGCCACACAAACGCTTCACTTTACATTCTTTTCTTGCACGTTTTCCACTGTTTACACAAGTTATCCCAATTTATTTTCTCTTAACTTTTGGGTTTGCTTTTCATTGCTACGCTGATGATTTACAAATATACATGCCAGTTATTGCAGGAAATGCATCTGATTCGGTTAAGTTATTGACTTGCTTGGCTGCTGTGAGGAGCTGGTTATCGGCAAACTTCCTGCTACTCAACTCCACAAAAATTGACATGATAGCTATTTGACCAGCTAGATCAGCTCATTTGTATCTCTCCACTGATGATTCGGTCATTCATTGCAAGGATAGAGTAAAGAATCTTGGGGTTTTTGATCGATCACTTTCGCTTGATTTGCATATTAAAGCGAAAGGTGACAAAAGTAGCCTTCTTTCATCTCTGAAGAATCGCAAAGATTAGATCGATATTGGCACTTAAAGATGCTGAGGCTCTTATTCATGCCTTTCTCATATCTAGGCTGGACTATAATTGTAATGTGCTGTTCTCTGGGCTGCCAAAGAGAAGTTTACGAGGTCTGCAGATGGTCCAGAAAGCTGCAGCACGTATTCTGACTGGATCATCTAAATACACGCATGTAACTCTTGTGCTGGCCTCACTGCACTGGCTCCCTGTTCAGGTTAGAGCAGATTTGAAGGTTTTGTTGTTAACGCACAAAATAGTGAACGTTTACCTTTGCTGTCTTTGTATAGTGGTATTTACTTTTCACTGTTTCAAATTAAGTATTTTAGTTATATTGTTTTTGTAAAGCACTTTGATTGAAAGCGCTCTATAAATAAAATTATTATTGTTGTTATTATTAACTTCTCTGTGTCACTTGGAGACACACTGAATTGTCCTGAAAGTTTCCTCAAGTGGCGATCAGAATAAGGTCATTATCTTTATCTTTGAAGCCTTTTCTCTAGTTAAACTCAACCATGAAATTAAAGCACAAAGCCTTGTGTAGCTCGGCCCAAAATGTTTTCAAATGCAGCTAATTTATTCTGTCTCTGACGTTGGGAGGTGTTTTTGATTTGTTTTCACACTCAAATTTATTCTGTTTGTGGCAGAAGAACATGTTACACAAGCTGCCAAAAACACTTGTGTGTTAAACTTGGTTTACTTGGTACTTTAAGGGCTGATTAGCTCTTAAGGACACACTATAAATGGACTTTCAGAAACTCGCTAGCCTAGCAACAGGACGCCTACAAATAACAGTGCTGCTTTTTCTTAATCTACCTGGCTCAGGGACCAGTACTTGCTCCATTCACAGAGAACACCTGTTATAATTATGAAAATGTTTAGTTCTCAAATGAAATATAATTCCTACTTTTTCAAATGTTATTTCGGGATAAAAATACGATGCCTCCTGCAGTGCAAACCAAATTGTGTAGAAGTGCACCTAGATATTCTTACCAATCAAAATTTGATTTGATAGCCTTTGGTTTGCAACAGTAGTCAATACACATCAACCAAATAAAAAATAGAAGACAGAAGAACATATAACATACAATAAAATTTGTCAGATTTGTTATCTGTTAAGTGATTATTTGATCAGATAGTTTATGATTAACGACGTCACCCTGGTTAGGGATGCAAGGGCAGAGAAAAATAACTTGGTATTGGGGTTTTGACTGCATTTTAAACTGAGCTTATAAGTAAAGACGTCACTGACGACCAACAACCAGGATAAAAAGGTCTTCTGGAGCAATTTACTGCAAATTACTTTAAAGAGTTTTAAAGTTTTGCCAGCGCAGTAACTCTCAAAGTCGCCTTTTGTTTTTTATGATCTTACTCCTAATGTGGTCTGTAATTGCAAGATTTAAATAGGCTAATAAATAATTGAAGCATGCGACTGGTCTCACATAATAAAAGCTCTTTATGCACCACAGCAGGAGTTTCAGGGGGACTGATTTCATAACAAACACTTACATTTTGTAGAATTAAAATCATTTCCTATTAGCTGTGCAGCCGTTGGGCTCTATCTGCTGCTCCTCTTTCCTCATTTGTTATTGCTGCAACCTTTACAATATTTCCTTACGGTGACGGACTTTAATTGGGTGAAAATGTGAGAAGTGTAGATTCAACAGTGCAGCAGCCCTCGAGTCACTGTCCAGCCGCCACTCAGCCCGTAATTACCCGCAGCCTCCTCTGCATATAAGGCTCCTACATCTCTTTTCTTGCTTTCCGGTCTGCCTGGTTTCTTTTTACCACATTTGTTCATTTTCTCCATCACCTACTTGTTCTATCTGGCCTGATATATTAACTGTTTTCTTATTCTTTGCAGCCTTTTTCTCCATCTTCGGGTTTCACCTCCTACCTTATTAGCAGCAAAGGGCTTTTAGCCTTCAAGCCAAGCATGGAAAAGGAGCGCTTTGGATGGATAGACCCATGGTTTTTTTTTCCTGTGTGAGTGTGTGTGTACGAAAATATTAACCTGACTCCATTTCCAGCCCTGCAGATGTTCCACTACTTTGCAGCTAATGGGAAGAAGTCAGATGGGGTGTTCATTTTCTTATCGTCTCCCTTTTTTTTCCTCTTTTCTGTTGGACTGTATTTGGCTAATTACCTCCTGCCTGCACATGACAATCATCCACAGAAACACACTCAGTCTCACACACCAGAATAAGGTTTACTGGTTCATTTGCTTCCACTTGATTCTTGACTATATTGAGTTAATTGCCTGCCAATAGACACACACTCTTTCTCATGCAAAAAGTCACCTCCTGCGGTGAGATCCAGCATGACTGACTGCAGACAGCAATTAGGGACAGACCATGAAAAATGAAGTGTCTGCATGCGATCGGTGCACATTTTGTATGCACAGAGGGAAAACAAAGTACAACATCAGCCGAGGCTCCAGGCAGCTCGTTCCTCTGAAATAATTAGCCAGCATCAAGAGGTTTGATTTTCAGTCTTTTTCTGTTCAGTGCTTCAAGTGGAAATTAGAACTTTTTTTATCTCAAGGAAAACTTATTCCATTTGTTCTGCCCCTTTTGCCTTTAGAAGAGTTCAGACATGCATTTAAATGAGAATTAATGTGTGTGTGTGAAGAGAATCGCAACTGTCATTATCAGCTAATTATGACTGATTAACACAATTTAATGATTTACAATTACTCGCGTTAGTGTAATTGAGTAGTGTACTTGTACCTTTTTAAGTTGTTTTTAAAATCTGTAGTTTAACTTTTACTTAAGTATGTTTTGTTTGAAGTATTGTACTTCGCTACATTTTAAATACTGAGTAAAAAGTTTGTGCGTGGCTCACAGAGAGGTCGGTGATCGTTCATTCTGGCTGGATGACGTCCGACGCTCCTGTTTTACACATGATCCATGATGACAAGGAAGATTTAGGACAGAATGGCAAAAATAGCATGTTGTGTCTTATTAAGAGGAGCAGAGCTCCACTGTAGTTCGCACCCTGCTTGTCCCACAGGTAGTTGGTAAAATAAGATTTCATAGTTTGGTAAGAGGCTTTGCTCAGATGAGCCAAAAAGACATCGGTTCATGACATCGATAATGTTGGTTTGTGCTCCAAAAGGCTGTGATTTAATTAAATATATTTAATAAGATATTAAATCAGTATAAATAAGTTACTGTAAACTGTGAGTAAATTTTAAATGTTACCTTTTACTTTTACTTGGGTAGATTTTTATCCCACTAACTTTACTTGTACTTAAGTAAAAATTCATCAATGTAACAGTACTTTTACTTAAGTACAATATTTTAGTACTCTTTCCACCTTTAGGTCCTTGTTTATGTTTTAAAACTCAACTGCGTACAAAGGTTCACACCTTTAGGGCATAACTAAAGGTAGGTTTATGCTCGAGGTAAATTCATATGACTTCATCATATATCTTGCATCGAGAGCAAAGGCTCTGCAAGTCGTCACGCTGTGCGGTCACGCACCTCTGATTTGTTTTGTGACTAGGCGCCCACTGTGCTCCCTTCGCTTTTCATTTCACCACTCGAAATGAGGAATCTCAGTTTGGAGGAAACCTGCAGCAAAGAGAAGTTAAATTTAAAAAAACACCAGGTGCTATTTGATGCGGCCTCTCGCTTTTGTCTTTTTAATAGCCGTAAACAGATCAATTCTTCCTCAGCATTTAGGAGCTATAGGGCAGGTTGTGTTGAGCATTAAAGAGTGTGCGCTCGTAGCATTAAAGAGTCTTCATCCAGAAGAAAATACATATATTATTTAGAGGATGCACATTAGGGCTATGCAGTATTCACAACAATGATATGGATATTTTCCAATATTAATATATTTCTTAATGTCAAGCTAATGTTTAAAACTGAACTGTGTTATAGTTATTCATGAGATTAAACTCTTCATAGACATAAGAGAAAAACTTTTGCTTTCTTGCGTTAAGTTTCACAACATCATCAGTGAGTTGGGAGGAAGTTTGAGCATCTTGGGATGCTATATTGATGTTTTCAGCCTTTATTTTAAACGGGCTTATGTTAGAGACGGGCCTTTTTGTCTAATTTACCCAGTTTGATAAGTTTAATGATCATATTTAAAGAGGTGGTATTATGCTTTTTGGCTTTTCCCTCTCCTTTAGAGAGTTAGAGTTATATTCCTTTTTTGTGCATGTAACAGGTTTGCAAAGTGAAAAAGCCCAAAGGGAGTTCACAGAAAACTCTGCTCTGAACCGAAAACAGCTTGTTTGTAGTCCAGCCGCTTCCCTTTCGCCCCTGTGACGTCACAGGGATGAAAGCTAAATGCACCTCATGTAACGCTCGCCAAGCGGCTACTCCGACACGCCCTCAGAAACAGCGAGCTGCAGCACACAGCTCTCCTCCCCCCTTCCAAACACCAGCTACCCTCCAGGCAGTCAGTGGACATAAAGTTGTTCCTGTGATGTAGAGACAGAGCTCAGTTAAAACTTTATGGATACAGATTAATAACTCACCGCTCTGAAACTCTCGCTCCAGTCCGTGTTGCCAAGCTGGTCGGCAACACGTACGGCTACCATGCTTTATTTTTTCTTTTCTATTGATGCCACATTTACCTTTTTTATTCTGACCAATTGAGGAATGGGATACATTTCCCACAGCAAATACTTTATCAGTACAGCAACAGAGTCACCCCGTACTCACCACTGTACTTCTCTCAGTTTCTCTTCACTATTAGAATACAGTTGCTTCTACTTTGCAGCTGCTTCCACGATGGGAAGTTGACACTTCCTGCACAGATGTTTCACATTAAAACCCTCCCTTTCCCTGGTACTGTAGTTTGATGTGAAACAGTTTTACGCTTTATTCACGGCGTCTTAACACTGCCACAGTAGAAGCAAATCAAAATCTATCTTTCTATCAAAAATCTTTCTGGCAATTATTTAAGTACCAACTTTTATTTTACATGCCCTTTTAGTGCTTTGCTTACATAAAGCTGAAGCAGACTCTCATGAAATGGCCCTGTTGAAACGGATCCGGTACCCCCCCCCCCACCCACCCACCCCCATCTTCCTCACTGCTTCATTAAGTGTTTCTGTGTCATGTCTGGGTATGAGATAAGACAAGATGACAATTTAATGGTGCCAGTAGGGATGGCAGCAAGAAATAGATTCTGCAAAGAAAAATCGATTAAAATGCAGAGCCAGAGGGCATTTTCACAAACAGTCTGAAGTACAAGTGACAGTTACAAATGCAGAACTTCTGCACTACAAATGAAAAAGTGAAAAGGTGAAATGTAGTGTGTTTTTATGCCACTGTGTGATAGAGAGAGAGCTTACTGTTGGCTCCAGCCTCGATATCACACCCACTTAAGATGCCACAGCACGCTCTCAGCCTTTCATTCAGTCCTGTGTTGACGTGCGAGAGGCAGCCTGCTAATGGAGAGAAAAGTCGTGTCCATTAGGCATCAGCTTGTAATTACTCGATAAGAAGTTGTATTTATGTCTTTTTAGATTCATTCTTGTTTTGATTTTCAGTTCAGTGCAATACTGTAAACAAGATGTCAACTCTAATCTAATAGTTTATGTAAAGAGTGTGAACAACTAATTTGTCTTGGAGCCAGGTAAAAACATCACACACACACACACACACACACACACACACACACACACACAAAGTGACTGTGGCAGCGGCAAACATACTGGGAGTCTTGACAAAGCAAATATGGCGACATGCACAAGTGTTATTAGCACAGTAAAAAATATTTTAATAAACATACCAAAACATAAACACTATCATTAGCTTTGCACAGGGTTTCTGCTGCTTCTTAAAAAGTCTTTAAAGCTCTTAAAATAAAACCAGGGAAATCAAGGTCATAAATTGTCTTGAATTCATCCTAAATTAGCTGTAGGTAACAAATTTGCCGATGCTGCATTTAAGCTTGGTGGGAAATTTGTAACACAAAGTCTAATTATGCTGTATTTGTTTGATTAACTTACCATTAGACAATGCAAGATCCTGCCATTAATATCTATTTAATGTTACGTTTACTTTAGCATTATAATAACTTAGAGACTAAATGTCTCTTTTTACAATAATTTGTTTTCCTCCATGTTTACCTCTCTCTTTAGCAGTGCGCAGGCTACCATAAAACTTATTAAACTGATTAATAGCCCGGGCTTTTATTTGGAAAAATCACTGAATTGACCTTAACTTTCTTTGGGACAGGCCTTTAATTCCTCTTGCACAAAACTGAAATAGGCTACAAACAGAATATTACTTGTATTAAAATTATATATTCACGTCTTGGATTCACTGTTTTGATTATTTTGATCGGTGGACCCTTCCAGACTGAAGGCAGATAAATAATCAAGGAACGGACACATTCTGACTTAACGAGCGCTTGAAAGGTAACGGGAGTCGGCGCCTTTCTCTTTCTTTTCATCTTTTGTAGCCATGCAGGTTACATCGGCATGTCCACACTGACATGTTGATCATACGTTTAAACATTAATATTTGTATTAACGATCTAAGCAGCTTAGAAGCAGCTAAAGCGGGCGACCCCGCAGGGTTTAAGAGGTTTTATACATCCAAAGAACTTCTTTAAAAACCAGACCAGGCGTCTAATGGCGAGCTGCTTTTTTTTGTCAAATTGTGTTCCCCCACCAGGCCAGGAAACGGGGGAAGGCGGCTGTTTGGGATTCAAATCAGCCTGAAAGTGAAACTTATGAAAGTCTCGCCTGGTCTTGTTTCCTTGCTACCTTTCTTTATAATGTGTATTCCTTTGTGTTTTAGTATTTTAAATTGAGTTTAAATTACTTAAATTACTGCACGAGTTCAAGTTCACAAATGGACACGATCAGTTCACCAAAAACATGGGCATGTTCAATAATCGGTGCTGTTTGCACACGTTTATGCCCCGGATGGAAAAACTACATGTGTTTGCTGTCAGACTGCGAGCGGTACGTATTTCCGCCTACGTAGCTGTTGTGTGCAAAAATATAAACAGCCACTATGTTTCCTTATTCGGAATATGCAAATATGGCATTGCCTCGTTCATATCTCCTTTATATCAAAGACATTGTTTCGACACAAAAACATTGAATTTGACTTTAAAAATGGTGCGAGAACCGTGTTGCATGACTGTTGAGGACTGCGTCATCGTTTTAAGTCTTGGGATTCTCCGATTCGGCCTGGACGTCAGTTTTCACAATCTCATTTTAACCGTAGCCTCTACTGCTTGTTTTGAGTGTACCGCTGGGCCCTTAAAACAGATTATAATTGTCTTGAAGAAAATTACCATATTACACTGAAATGACATTAAACCAAGAATAGCCATGGTTAAAATAAATTATACCAAGAAAATACTTGTATTCTGGGAACTTTCTTGTAGCCCTACCCCTCTATAACAACAAGAATCGGGACCCCTAGACGTGAGCTTGCAAAACGGAGGGGTAGGGCCAAGTGGTGAAATGGGATTGCGTCTTAGCCTCGTCAGTGGCCCTTGCAGTCAAACTGGCTCTTCCTTTCTGTTACCCTTCATTCTGCACAACAAAGATCCTGCACGCACACGTGCATCCGATACACACAAAAGCATACTAATACACGTGCCCACGCATAAACTTTGCAGTAACCAGAGTGTCCTTGTCACCTTGGCAACTGTCAGGAGTTCACGTATGTTGTGAATGTGTTTTTCGTCTCTATGCGAGATGATTCACTCACCTCTTTCTTGCTGCTTCTGTCTCTCTTGTTCTGCTTAGCGCTGAGCCTCCTGTGCAAATCGATAGCTTCACTGAGCCTCGGTTGCTTGTCTTGCTTAACTTTGGGGGAGTGTGTTTGTGTTCAGCAAGGCAAGCTTGGTTTCCCCCTGAACAATCTATGTGTGTGTGTGTGTGAGAGAGATATTAGGGAGTAATGCTGGCTTTATTTATTCCCATACAGCAGATAAAAGCAGAGTGGAGATAAAATGCGGCTCTGCTCTCTGGATCCCTGCAGGCCTCTGCTTTGGTCTCGCCTCTGTTTACTCTGACAGAGTACACTGTTAAAGAAGAGGGAATACACATTTTCACAATGTTCACAAAAAAACAATCTTCTGAGAGCCCACAAGGTTTATGTGGCTTTGATTAGGGACCGTATTTTGCTTTAAGACGTTTTCCTGCCTTATCCAGAATATTTAATGTAATTTATGAGAAGAAGTTGTTGCTTTTTATTTTCATGCACCAGAATCCTCTGAACTGTGCAGTTATAAACCACCTACTTTGGCTCACTATACAGCAATTCTGCGATAATCAATATTGTTAGACAATCCTAAAATGACACATCACGATATCTAACTATGACTACAAAATTACTGCGAAAAGGTAAAGTTATCGCTATTTTAACAGCACAAGTCTGCAGCACACGTTTTTCAGTCTTTAAATTAAAATTACAGAACTATAAACAACTATGAAAAAATTTATATAACAAACATTTCTTTATAAAAAGAACAAAAAAAATGCAAATTTACTGTGTACCACCTAAGTCTAATATGTACATCACATTATATTGTGTGAAAATGTGTAGTTTATGTTAAGATTATTGCAATGCTAATGTCTGTTAGCAAGTTAATGGAGATTCCCATTATACGTTAGCATTGAGCTAACTGTCATAGCGCTATTTTTATTTTTAAATATATCGATATGATGGGCTGGAATATGATACAGTATTATACCACAAATAATATGGTGTAAACCATGGGTGTCATGTCATAGTCCAGTATCAAATTGCATTGAATTTCCTTTTTGATAAACTAGGATTACAACTTTTTTATTGTCAATTAAACATTTGATTGGTTTTTTGTTTGTTTTTTTCAATTAATTGATGGGACATTTTTCTGTAATATAACTGAAGATTGTGCTTGTTTTGTCCTGTCCAACACCCAAAGATAATTAATTTACAATGATTGAACCCTTTCATGCATGAATTATTAAATCACAAAGTAATTTCTTTGTTTGTTTTTACTTTTAAACAAGTGAAGAATTATGCCTATAAACTTTTTTCTCCCCAATATATTGATTTTTAAATTATTTTTTTTTAAATGGGTCCACTGCTGTAAACCCCATCAATGCATCAACGCCATCAAAAGTGATTCGTTTGGTCCATAAATGTGTTTGCAAAGAATTTGTGTTTTAGTAATCGATTTAATCGATGAGTCGTTTCAGCCACAGTTGGCTGAAGTGTTCGAGTGTGTCTCTATTTGTTAACAATAACACTTTCTGGCACTATGCAGACTTAAAAAAAAAATAAACAAAAGATACGTCTTCCTCCCCGTCTGCAGCCCTCCTCTTCTTGTCCGCCTCAACTTCTTTCTCTCCATCCAAATCTTTCTATTTTCTTTCCCTTCTTTCCAGATAATTGAATCTCAGACACACACACACACACTTATTTACAGAAGACACGCTTCTTATTGATCTCACACTAACATCCCGTCCTTCAATCCAGACTCTCTCAGGCAGCTCTCTGTGGTTAGTGTTTTATTTATTAGACTGTATCACACACACACACACACACACACACACACACACACACACACACACACACACACACACACACACACACATACACACACACACACATGCACTTATCTGTGCTTGTCTTTGATAAGCGCACCTGGCACTGTGGCTCAGCTCTTGATTGACAGGTGGACTGATTGCATGCAGGGATTGATTAGTGAGGTCTAGTGAGGCGGAACTTCCTCCTGTCAATCAGAACAGGAAGTGGAACATGTCTGTTGTAATTACAGTGGATTTTATTGGCTTTTACGTGTGTGTGTGTGTGTGTGTGTGCATGCAGGGGTGGGGTCTCATGGATTTCGCTGGCTTTTTAAAGCTCAATAAATAAAACCGTAAACTGAGCTAACTGGATTTGAAAGGTTTTATTAGCAGGAAATCAATGACTGTGTGACAGTCTTCTTCTTTTTACCCTTCGGTCACATATTTGTGATAGAAACGTTTGCCTGTAGAGCATTAGCAATGATCCAAACTTATTGACGTGCACTGCTACTGATCCACAGGTGGCATTCATCAAGTTAAAACAAGCAATTTACAACAAGCATGTGCTGATAATTAAGAGGGTTTGCTTCAACTCAACTTGGAAGACTCCACTAAGCAAACCTGACAGAAAGGGGGAAGTTTAAAATTACATTAAGATGGAAATGGTTTTTTTTTTTTTTTATGTCAACATTGGTTTAAAGGGATTTGGACAGTCTACTTTGAAGTGTGCAAGTGTACATATTATTCACAGAATAATGTTCTGCTTTAAAGTTCAAACTACTGTAAGAGACACCCCAAATGTAGACAATAACTGGGACTAAGATTGCACTAAAGACTGTGTGTTTGTGTGTGTCGTCCTCAAACCCTGGGAACTCTGGTTAATGATGCTTTTTTAAACGTGGTGTGGTTTTCAAATTTGCACTTTTAGACCACTGTGTGTACATTTTTGGGATCTTACATAGAGTCTGACAGCCACATCACATAGGAGGCAGGACTAAATTACACAGCGCTTGGTCTCCCACAGAAACGCAGTAAGGAGGTCTTCGTCTTTGCCTGCTGCTTTTGCCAGTTCTCCCTGACTGCCTCTGGTGAACGTACAGAAACGACTGTGCCTCAGTGCGTTTGAAGTTTCGGCTATTTTTAGGGCTCATTATTTTTGTTTTCTTTTTCAAAAAGAATATTTGGAGATTCATTGGAAGTGTAAATGTTGTGTAGTTTGGGACCTAGACTTTGATCTGCAGGATCACCAGCAGCTCTTCTCTCTTTTCCCTCAAGTGTTCTCCTCACGTTCTGTCAGTGGAACCATATTTCCAGCTGTTCTCACAGCTAGTTTACTCTAATCTACTTAGCGTCATCTTGTAAGAAAAATCACCATGTTTTTGATTTGTGAACGCTCCGTATTTGTATAGCGCCTTTCTAGTCTTTTCGACCACTCAAAGCGCTTTTACACTACATCTGCATTCACCAGTCACACACATTCATACACTGAGCCTAAGTGCTCAAACGGAAACTAACATTCACACACTTTCATACACTGGGGGAACAGCCGCCAGGGGCAATTCAGGGTTCAGCATCTTGCCGCTGACATTAATTTAAAACCTGAAAAGAGTCTAAGATATGGAATGTTTAACATTTGGCTCTGCAGGTAAATTCCTGTTAGTTTTGATATATCCAGTTTGTTCTCCTCTTTGTTACATCATTTTCCACAAACAATCATTAAAACCAAAAATATTCACACTTTGAACACTTTCTTCTTTGTCCCTCATTATTTTCTCTCTCTTCCTCCACTTTGCAAACAGCACCATCATCATCATGTCGTGATCACTTGATCACAGCGAAGCACAATATGTCACAGGAATAAATGTCAGTGTGAAAACAGTGCGCAATGTAGTTATATGGATAACATGGATTAAACGAAGCATCGATGCAAAGAATTTGTATCGATGCTTTCTGGTAATCGATTTAATCCACAATAAAGGTAAACATGAGTTGTAATTTTGTGTGGCTGAAACGACCCATATGGTTGTTATTCCGTTGAGGACAGGCAGAAGTATCACATCACCTGTTTAGCGTGTACGAGCTGTTACTATCAGGCAGACGGTGAAGGGTGCCATCCCTCTGAACCAACAGGGCTCGCAGATTATTCATGCCTACCAGTATTGCGCTTCTGTGAGGATGCTGATGTTTTTGTTGCTATTGTAGTTGTCCGTTTGTTGGTTGCTGTATGGATTTTCCGAAAGGACTAATAAATGTCTACATAATCTAAATCTAAACTTGTCTATAAACATATTTACATGTCGTTGGCACTGAACAAGACTGGTAGTATATTCCCAAAAATAAAGCTGTTTATTGATTTAGAAATTGTGCTTTTCTTACGTTTCTTTCCAACAATATATAGGATGTGTTAGCGAACTATCTGTATCTATCTGAATTTTAAGCGTACTTCTGAAATGTCGCAAAAAAAAGTGTTTCCATCTCTCATCTAGCCATTTACTCTTTTTTGACAAAGGCAAAAACCACCTCAAGAGAGCGTAAAAACGTTTTAGCAAAATTAAGGATTTTTCCCCCGAATCTTGCCGTTTCTGATGGGACGCTTCAAAATGCGCGTTAAAAAACCTTGATGGAAACACGGCTTTTGTGTTTCTGTGCATCTAAACATAGCCATGATGAGCCGAAGCACACGCAGTAAACGTGGCAGAGGGGGATTATTGACAGCTTGGCGGCTTATTTAGAAACCTGCTTTACTTAGCTTTATTTGCTCCCCCTCAAGAATTTGTCTTGTAAGCATACACACATGCATGTACGCACACACACACACACAAATACATGGTCGTTAATTAGGAGAGTGAGCTATTGCCTCTCTAATGGAGCAGGGCAGGGACATTCTGGACTGTGGTGATGTATGGTTTTAGGTCTGAGCCGACCCGCCGGCCTCTTCTGGCCTAATACCTAATGTCCAACATCAATCACACTAACAGGGTTACAGTGTGCACGCCGCTCTCTGGCTTTCTATCGCTTCCGTTTCCTCCTGCCACCGTCCTCTTTGTCTTCAGCTAGGAACCTTTCACTTTAGGTCAGCCTGATTTTTTTTTTTTAGTTTTGTTTTACTTCTGGACTGTAACAAGTCATTTAGCCCCGGTCTCCATTTACCGCCACAGATCTGGGGTCAGTCAGATTCAGCAGATATGTGATATCTATCGACCACATCAGGTTAGTAGGAGAAGATCCCATTACTGCTCCTTCGTCTCACCCTCCGTCCCTCCTCCTTCCCTCTCTGAGTATCTGGAGGTTTTTTCCTCTGTGCATTATGTTGCCATCCAGCCATCACACTGCAAACGCATTGATCTGAGCTGGAGGTATTAATTATTAGCAGGAACGCCCGGCTGCTCTTTATGGACATCTGATGATGGTGGGTGTGTGTTTGTGTCACAGCAGCCTTAAAAAATAATAATTGGCAAAACCAACAAGTATTTTTCAAGCCAAACGATGCCAACTTTCGGTGGTTCCAGCTTGTCAAATATGAAAATATGCCACTTTTATTG